GAATTAAAGATTTTTTTTTTTTTTTAATTTATTTGAGAGAGAGAATGAGATAGAGAGCATGAGAGGAGGGAGGTTCAGAGAGAGAAGCACACTCCCTGCCGAGCAGGGAGCCTGATGCGGGACTCGATCCTGGGACTCCAGGATCATGACCTGAGCCAAAGGCAGTCGCTTAACCAACTGAGCCACCCAGGCACCCTTGTGATCAGAATTAAAAACCACAATTCGTTGTAGAAAATTGGGCAGAGTTTGAAAAAGAAAAATCATCTATAATCCCATCAACTTGAGTAATCATTATGAAATTCAGGTGTATTCTGGTCCTTCTAATGTCATGTGTAAAATATGCTTACAAATAATAATATAGATATCCTTGTATATTCTCATTCATATATACTTCTTTCTATTATTATTATGTTAATCACCATACATTACATCATTAGTTTTTGCTACATATACTTCTCTTGTGCTTTAAAAAAATGGGTATCATACTTCCTCTATTGTTTTGTTTTCCCCCTTTTCAATAAATATATGGTGATGTCTTTCAGGTCATTGAGGGTATTCTACCCACCCCACCCCACCCCACCCCCGGTTTTCATCTGCTTCACAGTGTTATTTATCTTACCCATTACTATTATTGAACGTCTAGATTGTTTCCCAGTTTTTCACTTATCATAGCCAATGTTGGACTGAGTATCTTTATACAAAAAAATAACATTTTAAACTTCCTGTTATTGTTGCTAGTTTGGTAGTTGAAAACATTTTTGTTGTTGTTATTTTTTGTTTATAATGAATACTTGCCTCTGCTTTCTACCATGAAATTTTAAATTATAATCTGCATAGCACCTAGGTAGTTCTCTTCCAACTTGTACTGGTTTTTGTTTCCCCTCTTTTCCTTTTTCCAATATAATATCATAGAATCATGAACTTTTACAGTTATGACCCTGATGGTTAAATGATTGGACCAGAGTCACACAAAACATTCAGGAACAGAACAGAACAGAGATTTGGAAACTCAGCTTTACCTGTTTTTCATTCTTCCTTCTTCCAGTAGATGGATATTGCTAATATCCTTAAGTCTCCATGGGAAAAGGTTTTGCAGCTTTTCATTTTGGAGCAGTATCGCATTTGTGCTTTTGTGGCGGAGAACTTGTTGCTTCCAAATAAGTCCAGAAGGTAGCCTCAGCTGAGTGTGCCATCCACTAATAGCCAGTATAATGCTTGCTGTTCCAGGAGCCATGTTTGACCAGGACTGTGGGAAGGTCGTATTCATGCTGGAGGCTCTTGTGAGGAGATGAGTTGGTGAACAGAGAAACCGGCATGAAGATGCTCCCAGGAGTGGGCGTGTTTGGGACCGGCAGCTCCGCCCGGGTTCTGGTCCCACTGCTGAGGGCGGAAGGGTTCACCGTGGAGGCCCTGTGGGGGAAGACTGAGGAGGAGGCAAAGCAGCTTGCCGAGGAGATGAACATCACCTTCTACACCAGCCGGACCGATGATGTCTTGCTGCATCAAGACGTGGATCTTGTGTGCATCAATATCCCCCCTCCACTGACCCGGCAAATATCTGTGAAGGCTCTAGGTATGGACAGTCAGGCCATAGCAAGGGCAGGCTGTGTCTCCCTCTGGGTGGTCCTTGTGTGTCACTGCTCTCCTCTGTTCTGGGGAGGGCACACTGGGGGCATGTTACAGCTGTGGGAAGAAATGCTCCAGCCTTCCTCACCTCCATAAGTAACTCCCTGAGCAAAAATGAAGCCTTAAGAGTTGGCCTGTCACAGGGGCTAGAGATTATTACATGTTGTGCAGTGTGGTACTCGCTTTGGCAAAACACAGACATTTCATGCAATGTAAAGTTGGCCTGTTTGAAGTCAGAGTTCAAAGGCTTGGGCAGTAGGAAATTGATTGTGGCTGACATGTTTGTTCTTCCATTTCCGTGGCACGTAGCACCTCAGAGAGGAGAGGAGGGTGTGTAGCAAGGCTGCCATTTCCCATGTTTTGTCAATCCTTCGCTAGATAGAGCGCACACCCTTCCTGCCAAATTTTGCAATCTTGTGTGCCGGAAGGCAGGAAGGCTCTCTGATAGGGTCCACAGGTCTGCCTGCTCACATCTCTGCCCCCTTGGGAAGCAGTAGACAGGGCAGGGCTTACTGAGCTGTTCTGCAATTTCTTTTGGGCTTCTCTTCCCTGTCAACTGTAGGTGACTTTTTTTCTGATGTAAATGAGAATCGAATTGAATAGGAACACAAGCCGGTAAATATTCATCCAGCAGTTACTTTTGTTTTTAATGCCTCCTCTGTGCCAGGCACTGTCTTGATGTCTTTCTGTACATTCAGAGTAGGATTGGATCAGAGCCCTGCCTACCTTCAGATTTCACAGTTCAATTGAAGACACTAGAGATCACACACATTACAAAGTAGAAAAGACAAGACTTAGGTAACAATTCAGGTGGCATATTTTTAATTGACAGAGAAGTTGTTTTATGTAAGGTGATAGGAACAAAATATATCTCTGATGCAGTCACAGATCTCGGGGCTCAGGAGCTGGTATGCCATCAGGCTTGACCACTCCTGGCCACTACCATGGTGGAGAGTCCAAGCCTCTGCTACTTGTCTCCCTTGTTCTGAGGAGAAAAGAACGTCTGTCACCTCTGGCCCAGTGTGTTGGTAAAGATAAATGTTCATTGGAGTGAGCAAGAACATGAGTCTGGTGGTTGATTTGGGAGCACGTACATTTGGCCAAATACTGTAGATGGTTTGTCTTTTTCAGAGAGCAGTGTCTAAAGATGTGTGACACTGGAGCTAGTCACTAGATTCTTAGGAGGGCAGGTAATGGCTTTCAGATTTAGTTTAGAAGTAGGCCTAAGCCAACACTTTAACAGAGGGCTAGTGCAAGGGGACCAAGCTACCGTAGTCATTTGATTTCTTGCCATCCTGTGGCATGAATGCAGGCTGGTGAGGCCAGGTAATCCAGAGGCAGTGTTCTAGAGGCTCTCAGTCTTCTTAGATTCTAGGGTTCCCACAGAAACCATCGCCAAGCTGTGTAGGAAGAAAGAGGAAATCCTAGGGTTCTTTGGCCAAAAACCTGCTGTTTTCTGATTCCTGGTACAGGAAAACGCTGGACTTGCTTTTCTTATAAATAGGAAGGACAGGGATGACCAGAGACTTGTGGGATCTTATGTCTCAGCCCTGGTGAAGCAGGGTCGTCTGTCTTTTCTCTGCATCTCTGTTGTCAGGAGGTAGAGGGTGTGAATGAGAGTCCTTGGTCTATTATAGGCACACAGTCCCAGGGTCAGGTTGGTGGGTCTGGGAGAGCTCATGTCAGCTGGACCTCCCTTCAGGTACTGCCACTCAAACCCCAAAGGAGTTGCTGAGCATATTGTGACCATGAAGTTCACTCCCTGTGTCCTTTCACTTTTTTAAAGATTCGTTCATTTATTTGAGAGAGAGAACACGAGAGCATGGTGTGGGGGGAGGGGCAGAGGGAGAGAGAATCCCAAACAGACACCCCGCTGAGCACGGAGCCCTACGCAGGGCTCGATCTCATGACCCATGAGATCATGACTAGAGCTGAAATCAAGAGTCCCACGTTTAACCAACTGCGCCACCCAGGTGCCACTCACATTTTTTTTTTTTAATTGAGAATTCTCACTTGACATAAGCACATGTGGAAATGGCCAGAAGAGAACTCCTCCAATTTTCCCGAAGTACTGGGTGTGAATGTAGGAACTGCTGTAGACAGAACACCGTACTGAACTTTACATCAGACCCTACTTTTTTTTTTAAGGTTTTATTTTATTTTTTAAGTAATCTCTATACCCAATGTGGGGCTCAAACTCACAACCCAGAGATCAAGAGTGACACACTCCACCCACTGAGCCAGCCAGGTGCCCGACATCAGACCCCACTTGTGATCTTATTTCTATCTCTTTCAAACTCTCTGGACTCCTGTTAAATAGGGGGTCCCAATTCCTGCCCCTTTTGGCCTTTCCAGCATGATATATGTATGACTGCCTCCAAGTGCTGACCAAGAAAGACATTGGCATTACAACACAAGGGGCTTCCTGTTGTCGGAAGCAGAAGAGCAGATTTGTTTAAGTTAAATTCATTTTATTTTTTAAGATTTTATTTTTAAGCAATCTCTATACCCATCGTGGGCTTGAATTCACAACCCCGAGATCAAGAGTTGTATGCTCTTCCAGCTGAGCCAGTCAGTTGCCCCTAAGTTAAATTCATTTTAAAAATAAATAAATAATAGCATTCTCCTCTGGATATTCATTAAATAAATGTTCACTGAGTTGAATGTAGTCTACAAATGAAACTAAGCATTCTGAGTCATCTCAGATATGAAAAACTTTTCTGTAGGTTGGTGAACCATGTTTAAATTAATGCCTTGAAAGCGGGGCCCATTCTTCCCACCTATAAAACTCTGGAAGTGTCTGGTTCTTGTACACAGCCTAGATGGGAGACAGGACCAGCACATGCATTGATAATTGCAAAAATATGCAGCATATTTATTTATTTTTATTATTCTTATGTTAATCCCCATATATTACATCATTAGTTTTAGATGAAGTGTTCCATGATTCATTGTTTGTGCATAACACCCAGTGCTCCATGCAGAATGTGCCCTCCTCAATACCCACCACCAGGCTAACCCATCCTCCCACCCCCCTCCCCTCTAGAACCCTGTTTGTTTTTCAGAGTCCATCGTCTCTCATGGTTCGTCTACTCCTCCGATTTCCCCCGCTTCATTCTTCCCCTCCTAATATGCAGCATATTTAAAAGTCCTCAGAGTCAGTATCCCAAAAGACTCTCACTGCCATTTCACCTAACAGTGTATTCCCATGTATGAGTCTCTTTATATATGCATGAGAGTATATTTTTCTGTGTTTTTCCCCCGCCTTTTTTTTTTTTGGTCTCCCTGTTATTGGGTCTGTGTCTCTTGTTGTTCATTGAGGATACAGGCTAGTGGGGCACCTGGGTGGCTCAATTGTTTGGTATCTGCCTTCGGCCCAGGTCATGATCCCGGCGTCCTGGGATCGAGCCCCACGTCAGGCTCCCTGCTCAGCGGAGAGCCTGCTTCTCCCTCTCCAGCTGCCCCCTGCTTGTGTTCCCTCTCCTGCTGTCTCTCTCTGTCAGATAAATAAAAATTTTTTCTGGGCACCTGAGTGGCTCAGTTGGTTGAGCATCTGACTCTTGGTTTCGGCTCAGGTCATACACTCATAGTCTTCAGATCAAGGCTCTGCGCTCAGCAGGGAGTCTGCTGGAGATTCTCTCTCTCCCTCTGCCCAGCCCCCCACCCCCGCTCGTGTGCATGCTTTTTCTCTCTTTCTCTCTCAAATAAATAAATCTTTTAAGTTTTTCTTACTAATACAGTATTTATTTGTCTTCCCTCTGTCAAACCCTGAGCCAACCACTTTCCCCAGACTGCCTGGGTAGGTATAGGAAAAGGAACATACAGGGCAGATGAGACACAGGCAAAAGACCAATGGGAGGTGGAGAAGGCTTCTCACGTGGTGAAGAGGATGAGAAAGGCCACCATCATGCAAAAGAACCCTAAGGCCCCCAAGAGGGTAAAACCCAGAATGGCGTAGGAGGAGAATTGTTGCTTCAAGGGTTCCTGGCATAACCAATGATGAGGCTCCCAAGCACAGCCCCAGTTCCAGCCCCAGAGCCAGCTCTCCCTACCATGGCAGCCCCAGCCCCAGTGAATTTGGCTGTTGTGTCGATATCCCTTGAAATGGTGCTGGTTCAGAAGCTGTAGCTAGGAATAAATAAGGCCAGGGGCCGTGGGGCTGCCAAGCTGCCGAGGCTCTCATCTGTCAGTGTCTCCGGTGGTTAGTACCATTGCAGACAGTGATCAGCTCAACACCTGAGAGGCGCTCCTGACCAAGAAGGAGTTGGAGACACCCTTGCACAGGTGGACATTTTCAGGGGATGAGGGGCTGTGGCAGGAGAGCTGCTCCCAATGCAGAGAAGACAGCATGATCCTCAAGCCTTTTTAAAGCTAGGGGGGAAAAGATACAATTACTTAGCTATATAGCTATTGACATACTCTTAATTCCAGATCAGCTTTGATCAGATCAGATCTTGAATCTGTGAGAAATTTATCACAGTCATCTAAAGACTCTATTTAGTTAAGGATCCTCCTTGCATTATGCTATGCTAAGCATTATAAAAGATAAATCTTAGAGACTGAGAAATACCGATAGAGATTTGCAGCTATGCAGACATATATGACAGTGGGGCGCCTGGCTGGCTCAGTCAGGAGAGCATGCCACTCTTGATCCTGGGGTCGTGAGTTGGAGCCCCACATTGGATGTAGAGATTACATTAGGAAAAAAAAAATATATGACAGACTATATATTCTTCTCCTAAAATTTTTCATACTGGTCAGTAGTACTGTATTTTCTCCTGGCATTCACATGGATAAAATTGTAGAAATGTCAGGCCTGTGGGCTCTCTAGAGAGAGCCTCCAGTCCAGTGGTTCTCCGAATGTGATTCTCACACCAGCAGCATCAGCATCATGTGGGAACTTGTTACAAATCCAGATTCTCAGGACCTGTCCCAGACCTTCTGAATCTCTGTAGGTGAGGCCTAGCAGTCTGTGGTTGAAGAAGCCTTCTAGGTGATTCTGACGCACACTAGGGACTGAGAACCACTGATTCTAATCCAGCATCTTCCTTTTCAGTGAAAGAAATCAAGGCTCAGGAACATTAGGGTTACATCTCATTACGTCTCAGTGCTGTAGGAAAAATTACATTTTCCTTGGCTTGTTACATCTTTAGATGTTACCTCACCTCTGAGGCCATAAAGATTTTCTCTTTTTTTAATATTTTATCTATTTATTTGAGAGAGAGAGAGTGAACAAGAGAGCACAAGCCAGCGGGGAGCAGAAGAGGGAGAAGCAGGCTTCCCGCTCAGCAGGGAGCTCGATGTGGGGCTCGATTCCAGGACCCTGGGATCATGACCTGAGCTGAAGGCAGATGCTTAACGACTGAGCCACCAGGTGCCTCCGTAAAGATTGTTTCTTGCCCTCACTCTTACTGGTGGTTTCCCAAAACTCATTCTTGGACTTAGCCTCCAGAGGTGTCCTTTTCATATCACAGCCCTTTTTGTGGCATCTTATTTTCTACTTTTGTTTGACTTTTTTTTTTTTTATCTTCTTTCTCCTCCAGTGTCATCCTTAAAGCTTTTCTATGAGTTCCTTAAAGGAGAGGGAGGGACCCTAACATGTTTTATTTCTCAGCTTAGAGGTGGTTCAGGAAAATGTATTCTAGCGTGCAAAATGCCCCAACATTTTTGCCACAGTTGAATGTTTTCTTAAATCTGTCACTAAAAGGGCGCCTGGGTGGCTCAGTTGGTTAAGCGACTGCCTTCGGCTCAGGTCATGATCCCGGAGTCCTGGGATCAAGTCCCACATGGGGCTCCCGGCTCAGTGAGGAGCCTGCTTCTCCCTCTGACCCTCTCCCCTCTCATGCTGTTTCTCTCTCTGTCTTTCAAAAAAAAAAAAAAAAATCTGTCACTAAAAGATTTCTGTGCCCAGTTCTTGGCACTAGTGTGCTTCATTAAAAAAACACTGAATTTGCCAACCCTTTCCCATGGGCTTGTGACATAACAAGAGATTATTACTCAAAGAGTGTAGCCCAGGGGCGCCTGGGTGGCTCAGTCGTTAAGTGCCTGCCTTTGGCTCAGGTCATGATCCCAGGGTCCTGGGATCAAGCCCCGCATCGGGCTCCCTGCTCAGCAGGAAGCCTGCTTCTCCCTCTCCCACTCCCCCTGCTTGTGTTCCCTCTCTCGCTGTGTCTCTCTATATCAAATAAATAAATAAAATCTTAAAAAAAAAAAGGAGTCTAGCCCATATAATTTAATCTCTGGAACACTGGTCCCTGGGGACATCTTCTCTGACCACCCCCAGTCAAGGGGTATATGCTCTCATTTTACCATTTATATCATCTTCACTGCATTTATCACAAGTACAGTTCTACATGTATTTATATGGTAATTTGATTAATGGCTATCGCTCCCCCTAAACTATAAGTTCTCTGAAAGTAAAGTCCAAACCCAATGCTGTATCCCCAGTGCTGAGCACAGGGCTTGACACACAAATTCTACTCATGCATGCCCCGTCTGGTGGTGTGACCCAGGGGGCTAACAAGGGCCAGTGACCCAAGAAAGAGTAGGCAAGAGCGATTCAGTCTTACGGCTTTCAAACTTCTTTTTCTAGTAGCAGAACCTTTTTTGTACCCCGCCCCCGCAAGTGGACTTCCTGGATTTTGTAAAACATAAAAGTCGTGTTCTTCCTGAGCTACTTCTCTACCTACTGTTTGAAGTCTCCTTTCTCTAGTCCCATGCCTCTAGATGGGCTAACAGGAGTGCTGTGGTCCTAGAGCTCTGAACAGGCGCTGTGCTAATAGGGAACAAAGAGGTGTTCTGGGGCAGCCTCTCTGGACCTCTGGTGTTCAGGGGAACCCAGTCCTGGGAAATCTGGGGAGTATGAGCTGGAGAAAGGGTTGTAGCTTGAAATTTATTCACACTCCAAAAAGTCTGAGCTAATAAGCATTCAGCATCCATGCTTTTCCACTCCCTGTTAACAAAAACCAGTTCCCAGCTTCTCTAATCTCTCCTTTGGCTTCCTAGCAGGAATGCTAGATAACTTAAATAAATATGTCTTTCAGCACAACCCAGGTTCTCTAAAGTTAAAGATCATGTACATTTGGCCTGCAGGAGCCTGTTTAACTCAAGATGGCCTTTAGCTCCCAGACAGATAATACTATTGGGTCCTAAGTTCAAAAGCATTCCTATTGTTTGGGCTCAAGAAGGAAGGTCTCTCCCCCTTCCGTGACCTCTCTTGGCATGGAACAGAGATTTCTTATCCTGGTTTTAATCATCACCAAGCTCTCAGCAGTCACAAGAGTCCTTTTCCCCCCACCCCATCTCCACTCTGCCCCATGCTGCAGTGTCCACCCAATCCCTGCAGTGAAGAGTTACAGCGGGTAGTTTCTGGGTTGGTCGGAGCTGCAGCCCTCAGATGGGGTGTTTATGTCTGATAATCTAGTTTCTTCATTATTTCCCTGGTCAGCCATAAATGTTCTGCAGCCACGTGGCCAAATTGTCACCCAATATTGTGATTCTCCAATCCCTAATCCTAAAATCCCACATGTGTAGGGGGATATTGGAGACTGTCCAAGAGCAGATCATGATAAAAATCAGGTGCTACTCTCCTTGCAGGGCTGTCTCCTGCCAGACCTGAGTGCAAGGACCTCTCCCCTTGCTTCCCCCCCACCCCTACATCTGTGGAGGTATTAACATAGGACTTCATTTGAACCACCCCAAGCTCACAGGAGTATCCCGGTGTTGGTGTCTTGTGACTGCTCATTCCCTCATGAGCTTTCATCTTAAAACATGGAGGAGTATCAATCCTTCTTCCTAATATGGAATCTGCTCAGTCTTCTAGCTCTCTCTCTTCAGGGCTTTTTCTAGCCTTGTTTTGCCCTCTCAGTACATCCCAGCTACAGTATACTCAGGACAGTCATGAGGACAGAAGGAATATTTTTATTCCCTTTCCCCTCCTACTAGAGCCAAACAAACATTTTCTGACCTTTTGACTACACTAACGTATTGGACCAGTGTTTTCAGAGAACAATCTTTGGGAAATCTTAGGGCCCTTTCTGCAGTTACAACTGAGTACAAAGCCCATCCCCTAGAACATAGATTAGATACTTTTGCCCCAAGCTGATGATCTAATAAATGTATGAAAGTACATAGGCATGTCCATCTCTCCAGCCCACGTGTATTAGGCAGTGTTCTCCAGAGAAATAGAACCAATGAAGGTATATATAGAGAGGGAGAAATTTATTTTAAGGAATCAGCTCATGTGACTGTTGGAGCTGACAGATCTGAAATCTGCAGGGCAGGACAACAGGTTGGAAATCCCAGCAAGAGTTGGTGTTGCAAACTTGAGTCTGGAGGCAGAATTCCTTCCTCTCCATGGAACCTCAGTCTTTCCCCACTCCCATCCCCGAACCTTCAACTGATTAGATGAGGCCCACCCAGATTGTGGAGGGTGATCTGATGTACTCAAAACCTACTGGTTTAAATGCTAATCACACCTAAAAAGATACCTTCTCAGCAGTGTCCAGACTGGTATTTGATGGACCCCACAGCCTAGCCAGGTTGGCACATAAAATTACCCATCATACCTCCTCTGTTCATTTCCCATTCCTGGTTTGCACTTTCTGCCTCTACTCCTTTCATTTTCCCTTAAGAATTTACTCATCTTTCGGGCGCCTGCCTTCAGCTCGGGTCATTAAGCGTCTGCCTTCGGCTCGGGTCATGATCCCAGGGTCCTGGGATCGAGTCCCACATCGGGCTCCCTGCTCAGCGGGAAGCCTGCTTCTCCCTCTCCCACACCCCCTGCTTGTGTTCCTGTTCTTGCTGTCTCTCTCTGTCATATAAATGAATAAAATCTTTAAAAAAAAAAAAAAAAGAATTTACTCATCTTTCTCCAGCCTATAACTTGTTCTCCAGTCCCAGTCACAGGGTACCATTTTTATCTAAGCCATTGCTTTTCCTCTTGCCCCAGGCCACCATCTGATAATAGGAGGCTTTTCAGAGTTCATGTGCCTTCAAGAAAAGATTTTCCCCCAGTGTAAAATCTCCTGGAACTTTGAGATTTTCTGGTGTGTTTTGTTCTTAGGTATTGGAAAGAATGTGGTTTGCGAGAAGGCAGCAACCTCAGTGGATGCCTTCCGGATGGTGACTGCCTCACGCTACTACCCGCAGCTGATGAGCCTGGTGGGGAACGTGCTGCGCTTCCTGCCTGCCTTCGTGCGCATGAAGCAGCTGATCGCGGAGCACTACGTGGGCGCGGTGATGATCTGTGATGCCCGCATCTACTCAGGCAGCCTGCTCAGCCCCAACTACGGCTGGATCTGTGACGAGCTCATGGGCGGCGGGGGCCTGCACACCATGGGCACCTACATTGTGGACCTGCTGACCCACCTGACCGGCCGGAGAGCTGAGAAGGTGCATGGGCTGCTCAAGACCTTTGTGAGGCAGAATGCGGCCATCCGTGGCATCCGGCATGTCACCAGTGATGACTTCTGCTTCTTCCAGATGCTCATGGGTGGGGGGGTGTGCAGCACAGTAACACTTAACTTCAACATGCCAGGCGCCTTTGTGCATGAGGTCATGGTGGTGGGCTCTGCAGGACGCCTCGTTGCCCGAGGAGCGGACCTCTACGGGCAGAAGAACTCTGCCACACAAGAGGAGCTGCTCCTGAGGGACTCGCTGGCCGTGGGGGCAGGGCTGCCCGAGCAGGGGCCCCAGGACGTCCCACTGCTCTACCTGAAGGGCATGGTCTACATGGTGCAGGCCCTGCGCCAGTCTTTCCAGGGGCAGGGAGACCGCCGCACATGGGACCACACCCCTGTCTCGATGGCCGCCTCGTTCGAGGATGGGCTGTACATGCAGAGTGTGGTGGATGCCATCAAAAGGTCGAGCAGATCCGGGGAGTGGGAGGCTGTGGAGGTACTGACGGAAGAACCCGACGCCAACCAGAACCTCTGTGAGGCACTGCAACGGAATAACCTGTGAGCCTGCAGGTGGGCTCCCTGCCACGGGGCCGAGGGGCCGGGGAGGGACCAGAAGCTGGCACGGGAGGGCTTGGCCACAGTGTCTTTCATCTTGGGCAGGGTCCAGGTGATGCCCAAGGTGGCCCTGGGAAAACACCCCCTCCAATGCTCATTTGCTCCTCAGACTTGCAGGGTGGTGATATAGTTGAGGGCTAGCACAGTGTGCCCGGGGTGGGGCTGCCCCCCGGGCTCTGCATAGTCACGCTGATGAGCAGAGCCAGCCAGAGCTTGACTTGGAGGCTGCTTTTGCCAATTTGTGGTCCTAACTAGGTGAGGTAGCATAGCAGGGACCCAGCTTGGCTGATTCCTCAGCCTGAGGAAAAATGATAAGAAGCCTGGTTTTCATGCCCTTCCTGGGCTAGGGCATCTCAGGAATGGTGAGGGCGTCGAGTCATCCCTCAGGGATCCGCACCTGCCCTCCTTCCCATATGACCAGGCCCTTCCAGCCTCTAGGCTGCCCCTTCCCTGGCAGGGAGGAGGGGTTCTTCATTAGGTAAACTCTCAGGGGCTGTTGACCTGGGGAAAAGGGCCCCCGACTTGGCGGAGAGGAGATAGGGTTCTGGAATATCTGATAAGTGTTAATAAATAAATCAGAAAGTCTGACACTATGTCACGGTTGTTTGTTGTTTGTTTGGTAAATTGGGTTTCTTTAATAATGAAAGGCTTGTTTATTGTTGTAGATTGTTTATATTTTTCTCTTTCCTTGTGGCTTCACAGCAGCTCTGGCCTGCTTTGGATCCATCACGGTCTAGTGGGCTTATCCCCTTGCGACTGAATCCCAGGAGCTGTCCAAGAAAAAGTCGTTTCTCAGACAACAGGACTCGAGACTTCCTGATTTGTGCCTGTCATGCCTGCTGTCTCAGGGAGATGGGGAGAGCTTGGGGCCTTCCTGGGCCGGAGGTCAGGAAAAGTTCTGTTCTTGCAACCATGGATTTGGCTCTGGGGAGCCCTGGGAGAAGGGAAGTGAGGAGTGGTCTCAGGGAACCTGGATGGAATGAACTAGAGGAAGGCTCCACATGTTGCCCTATGGAGTGGGTGCAGCCCAGCGCTGCCTGCCCCAGGCAGCCGGTCACCAGCCTTGCTTTTATTCACTGTTCTATACTGGGACCGCCTTTTAACCATGTCAGAAGTGAGGTGGGTGGGGGAAAAGGACACACACCCCTTTGTTTCCTCTGCCAGCCTCCCCGGATTAGGCCTAGACCCAACTCCTCTTCCCTTCTCTAAACCTCCCTCTCTCTTCCTTGCCCTGGGCTCCTTGCCAGAGAAAGAAAGGCTCAGGGAAGTCTCCCTCTTCCTCTTGGCACCCTTTCTAGAAGTCACCAGGTCAATTTTCCTGTGTGTTGCCCTGGTTGAAACCTTGTCCTTGTGAGAAAATAGCAGTGGCTAGTGTTGGGGAATGTGCTTCTTGCATGCTGCCCCCCCATTCCAGGAATACACTTCATGCATGTTATTTCATTTAATATCCAAACCGCTCTATGGGGTACCAATATTAATATTCTCATTATTCAGATCAGAAAAGTGAGGGAGAGGTGGGGCAAAGTTACTTGCCTCCTATAAGTTATAAGTGATGGAGCCAGGAAGGAGCCTGGTCAGGGTCATCCATCTACAGAGCCTGACCCTGAACTACTCTTTCCCCAGCACTTGCAGATCTCAGAGACTGAGTGCCCAGGCACTGCCCCTCCCCACTCAGGCCCCCATCCAGGTTACTGCTTCTCTCTGCAGCAGGAATCTCAGCAAGGCCTCAGCTAGGAGGTGGACTGCAGAGAGAACCTGCAAGGCAGGATGCTGGTAGAGTTTAAAAAGAGGCTGCTTGGGGCACCTTGGTGGCTCAGTCAGTTGAGCATCAGACACTTGATCTCAGCTCAGGTCTTGATCTTGGGAGTTGTGAGTTCTAAGCCCCGCATGCTGGGTGAGGAGCCTACTTTAAAAAAAAAAAAAGAAGAAGAAGGAAGAAAAGAAAGAAAGAGGCTGCTCTCTTCCTCCTGGGATGATCAGATCAGCTCCAGGTCAGTCCCTCTGTGTTATGAGGATGATGGGATCCTTCCTAAATTGGGGGATTTACTAAGAAAGCCCAAGTGTCCATCATACATGACTCAGGTGCTCCTACTTAAGAAAGAGCCAGGTTACTGACCCACAGTGGCACTTATGAAGTTTCATGGGGCTCTACAGCAAACCCCTTGTTTACAAAGACAGGTTCCCAGAAGTCCTAGGGCAGGTGGCAGTGGGCTTGGTGCAGAGCTACTTCTGTGAGGACCCTGGGGTCCTCTGTTGGTACTCCCCAGAGCCTACGTCCATGGCCATCCCTCAGACATCTTTACCATCATATATTTCTTGGGTCAGGGAGGAGATGCACCTTGAAGTAGCCCAGATGCCTGTGGCCAAGGAAGCCAGCAGGGTTCTGGTCCTCAGGGGTGACTGTGCCTGCATGCGGTTCCAGGCTTGTCCTGCAGCGCCCCCTCCTGGAGGAAGGCAGCATCACCTCCCAGGCCCAGTTCCCTAAATCTCAGGATCTTCCTTGGGTCAGAGTAGATTAAGTTTTTCCAAGCCACTGAAAAGAACTTCCAAAATACCTATTGCTTATTTCTCACCCCCAACCAAATGTAGGCCTCATACTCGCCCAGACAATCAGCAATCAGCCCAGCAGTCTCCTTACCTCCCTGTCCCCAATCTCCCTTCTTGTGCCCTTCTCACTCTTGCTCAAGTGACCTCTCCAGAATGCCAGGCCAAGATCCCGCTTGCCTACACCCCTTCTCATCGCTCCCAGAACTGCCGACCCTGCTGTCCTGGTGGCCATGCCTCCACTTCAGCCATGCTAAATGACCCTCCTGCATGGGGCTGACGTCTTTCACATAAACAAGGCTTTTCCCTGGCGTATCCTCTGCTTGGAAGGCCACCCAGCTCTCCAGGAGTCAGTTGGAGGGATGCCTCTTCCCTGCTTCCCTGGGTAAAATGGCAGCTCTTTCCCCCACTGAGGTCCCGCCGCCTTGGTCCTCTGCTCTTCAGTGGCACCTGTCTCCTTGCATTACACCCAGCATTTCCCCCTTAGAGTGAGCTTTTATTTATTTATTTACTTATTTATTTATTAAGAATTTTTTTGAGGGAGAGCATGAGCTGAGGGAGAGGCAGACTCCCTGCTAGCAGGGAGCCCGATGCGGGGCTCAATCCTAGGACCCTGGAATCATAACCTGAGCCGAAGGCAGACACTTAACCGACTGAGCCACCCAGGCGCCCCTAGAGTGAGCCTTTAGGAACAATAGTAGTGACTTGTTCCTTTCTGTGGCTACTCTCACCCACCCTGCTTAGATAAACTTGTCAGGAAAGAGACCTGCAAATGTAGATCAGTTCTTTCTTTGGTGATTACTGAGTATTTCCTACGTCACCTGTTGGAAGAGAGGAACAGAGCTTCCTTGTCAGTGCTGGCCTGGCTCACACCTCCAGCCCAGGAGACCATACAGAAAGCAGATGCTCGGCCTTCTTGGGTCAGGCCTTAGCCAGAGTCCTCAGGTCCAGATCTGCAGGGTTCAGGAAAGGGCAGTGTTTCCCTGGTGCCCAGGGTGTGATTTCATGTGAAGCCATTTCACTCAAGGCCTCTGCTTCCTCAGCCATAAAGTGAGGCAGTCGAGCTCAGTTAATTTTTTTTTTTAGGATTTTATTTATTTGAGAGAGAGCAGAGCGAGAAAGCACAAGTGGGGTGAGGGGCAGAGGGAGAGGGAGAAGGAGACTCCCCGCTGAGCAGGGAGCCCAGGGCAGGGGTGTGAACCCTGGGATCTGAGAGGCTCTCAGCCTAGAGGGTACATGCAACCAGCCTTGATGCCTGATTAGCTTGTAGGAGTAAAGAATGAGCAAAGAACAGGATGGGGTCTGGGGTGACACCCAGGATTTTGGCTTGAACCATTGTGTTGATGGGACACGGGAAGAAGAGCAGATTGGAGGGAGAAGTTATTAATTTAATTTGGAGATCCCTATGTTTAAGGTATATGAGGGACATGCAGGAGGACCAGGAGGCAGCAGGATATGAGGGTTTCCAAAATGGCCAGCACTGGCTGCCTCTTAAGCAGCAGTTATCCAGTGACTTAGCTGCAAGGCTCCAGGGAGAACACTCACACCCACCACCACGCCCTGGCTGCCAGGAGAAAGGCACGGATGCCTCTGTTAGCAGGGCCACCTTGGAGGCAAAGTCTGGTCCAGCTGTGGTCTCCAGTAAGTGGAAAGCATTCCAAAGACGCCACTCTTGGGGCAGGCAAATGAACTGACACCTCAATGGGAGATCCTAAGAGTTGGACCCTCGAGGTCAGACCAAATGCAGGAGGCTTCCCTGGGAGACCGGGAGCAAAACCAAGCAGCTGCTTCCCGTGACCTGGCCATCCCTTTCCTTTCTCTGCCCCAAGTTTCTCCTTATCACCTCCCTCTGCATCCACACTGTTATCCTGTCTGACCTTCAGGTTCATCTGAGGAGCCTTTAAATGCACAAAACTAGGCCCCAGCCCTGCAGATTCTGATTTGGTTAGGTCTGGGGTCGTGCCCAAGAACGTGTACTTTTGTCAAGTTCTTGGGTGATCTGAATGACCAGTCAGGCTTCAAACCCTGCACCCACCTTCCCAGCCTCTCTTCAGCCATCTTATTTGCAAAATCACCAAGTCTGAGAAAAGGAAAAATGTTTATTTTCAGCAAGTCCAAGGTCCCAAGTAGGGAGAGGGGCCAAATTTTCCCCTGCACCCCAAGGCCTAGGCTGCTGCTCTGGTTCAGACTTGGGAGAAGGGGAGCCACCAGTTGGGGGGGGGGCAGGAAAGTCACTTGTACTGAGGAGAGAGCGGAGGTACAAGTGGGGCTGCGCAAACACTCAGCATCTTGTCAATGTCCACCTGGGCGGACTTATCCACCTCAGCCTTGAGGCGGCCGCTGCCCCCCAGCCTGGGCAAACACCCAGGCTCCTCTCCCAGGGGAACCAGAGCATGGGTGGAGGACACAAATGTACTGGGGCAGGGCTGAGAGAGGCCCGAGGCCAGCTCACCTGCCACGGGCAGCAAGGCCTGCAGTTGCTCCACACCGGCCTCCTCGGGGACCAGGGCCAGCTCCAACTCAGGCTCCGTCTCTGCCTCAGCCTCCCTGTCCCCCTCCCCTGCCTCATTCAGCTCAGGATTGCAGTAGTTGATGTACTGGTACAGGGGCCGCAGGCGCTGAGCCTTCCCTGCAAAGACCCGGGACAGGGCAGGGGCTGGAACACCCACGCTGTGCCATGTCAGGGTTCCATCAGGCAGGAGGAAAAGGGAAGGCCCAGGGGCTGCCACTCACGCTCTAGCCCCAACGTCTCTGAAGGGGCAGACACTGTGCTGGCCAGAGCTGGGAGCACTGGAGCCCCCAGACTCTTGCGCTTCTTGGCTTTTTTGTGCTGTTTGGCAGATGGGAAGGGCTCACTCTGGCTACTCTCTGACTCCTCCTTCTGCAGTGGCAGCCCCTGTAGCATCTCTGCTTCAGCCCTAGGATGGGCTTGGTGGCTAGGCCCTGGGAGGCTGGGGGACAGGAGGCCTAAGGAGCCAGCCTCCAGCTTTGGCTCCTGTGCCCTGACCATAGGGAATAGCCCTGCCTGTCTACCACCTGGGGCCCAGATTCTCCCTTCCTGGTCAGTGAGGCTCTGGGCTGGACGGGGGACTAGAGCTCATGTGAGCTCAGTACCCTACAAGGCCTTGAGACTCCTCATCTGGATGCCCA